CCCCCCCCCCAAACCAAAAATAAATAAATAAATAATTACAGCTCCAATCATGTCCCACAAATGTCGTATACTCTTGTCAATATTATGATTTCTCGATTCCCCTAACATTTGCTGAATGGAGAGAAGAGGTTTGTGAACCCTAGAAAAGACTAGAAATTTGTCCCAAATTTTAATAGAGTAGGAGCACTTAAAAAAGAGATGATCAACCGTTTCGTCATTGTTTTTGCATAGCACACAAATATTTGGCCCTTGACATTTACGCTTAATGAGATTGTCCCTGGTAAGAATGGCGTTTTTATTTATCAGAGAGATAAATGCTCTTACTTTAAGAGGCGCTCTAAGACTCCAAATGCGCTTAGCTAAAGCACATCTTATACATCCATCATTCAAAAAAGAATAAGTTCCTCTAACCTCAAACACACCATCCTTACGTACACCATATCCATTTAGGCATGTCAGCAATGTCTGAGAGCTTCAGCTGAAACAAAATTAATTTGTTAAGGAGGTTTCTTTTTTGTTCTCTGCCAAAAATATCTAAGGTAGATGTGCTAATGTGCCATCTACCCTTCCTTTTGAAAGATGCAAGCGATCCCTTTTTGTTAAGAGTCTAGTCAAAACTAAGGGGAATTCTTGAGAAAGAGACATACTTTCACAATATTTATCTTGCTAAAAATAAATAGTATCATCCTTCCCAATAGAAAAGAAAATCATAGTCATAAACCAGTCTTTAAGTTTTGACAATCTTTTCCAAAGAGCAAAGGAATTTCTAGAGTTCCTCTGTCCATCCCTCCACCAACCTCTACTAGGGCAAAGATTTTGTGTAACAAGCCTAGACCAAGACTTATTAGTATCTGTGAATCTTTTCCACCACCATCTTAGAAGCAAAGCATTACTAAAATCCCTCAAGTTGGAGATTCCAAAACCCCCATATTCTTTCTTTTCACACACCTGACCCTAACAAACTAGGTTATATCCTCCATTTTCTTTATTAGATCTATACCATAAGAATCTTCTTCTTATTGCATCGATTTTGTTTTCAACCCATGTTGGAAGATAAAAAATGAAAGGAGGTATGTAAGAATTGTAGAGAGCGTAAAATTAATAAGAATCTCTTTCTCAATTTATCAATAAGAGGTCTCCAATTTGGTTTCCTAAGAGAACCGCATCTCATAGGAATCCCTAAGTAATTGAAAGGTAATCGTTAAACCAAACAATTAAAAACCAAGGATATAAGAAAACACTCTTGTGTAATTTTTTACCTAAGAAAATGAAAGAATTTTTATTAAAGTTAATTTTGAGTCCTGGCCACCTATCAAAACAAAATAAAATCGACTTTAGAATCATTGTCTGTGGTAAACAAGTTCCGCAGAAGAGTAAAGTATCATCTGCATATTGAAGGTTAACAACTGAATTCACTTTAGATTTTGACCCCAACCTTCGATAAAACCTCGTTGTTGGCACTTGGACACCATATGATTTAGGTCATCCACGACTAAAGTAAAGATCAGAGTTGACAAAAAGGGTCCTCCTGTCTTTGCCCCTCCTACATTGAATCTCCTTTCCTATTTCTCCATTGGTCATAATAGCGACTTTTGTTGAATAAGGCCATTTATAAATCCACCTTATCCACTTATTACCAAAGCCCTTCTGAGATAAACTTTTGAGCACACACCTCCAATCAATCATATCATATGCCTTCTCAAAATCTAACTTCAGAAGAAGCCATGTTTCTTAGCTCTAGCTAGATTTTGAATAACTTTATGGACTGTAGCTATTCCTTCTAAAATGTACGATCCTTAATGAAGCCCGTTTGGTAATCATACCAGTTCACCATTAACTTTACTTAGACGATTAGCCATTAACTTCGAAATAATTTTAAGTGATGCATTCACTAAGCTAATGGGTCTGAAATCTCCTACCAAATTACCATCCTCCTTCTTAGGGATGAGCACCACATTAGCATAGTTAATTCTTTCCAAACTAAATCAAGATGATGAGATTGAGAATTATATGATTCATCAAATTAAATCAAAATGATTAAACTAGAATAATGTTTTTTGAATACTCCAAAACTTAACTAAAAGAAAAGTTATATGAAAGATTTTAAAAACCACAAGTGTTTCAGAATCTTAGATAATTTAGAAATAACATGTGCGAAGGAAGATTGTAATAAAAATTAGGTTGTTATGATACACAAGTGAATATATATTAGTGATAATGAGGAGTTAGTATGCATGACTTCTACATTGACATATAGTATCAGTCTCTAACTCTTGAATAAGTTCATATAGTATCCCTTCGTTAAAGACATAATTTCTTATAGTATTCTATCAGTAAGTATCATGTTAATCATTTCCATTAGTCTTAAATTAGCACGTTAATTATTTACATCCATCTACATCTAATCTCGCTATTGCCAAAGTTGTCCCGCGTCCACGTGATTACATAATTGTTTCCATACTCATTGCAAGCACAAAGCTCAAATCTTCTCCAGATAACATTTCTGTTGGAGAAGAAGAAGCAAGAGCTCGAAGAAAAGATTCTGTTTAAGGAGGCGGTCTTGGTGCATTATAGTGGGCGACTTTTCCCCTGCTATCGGGTGCCTCCGCCTAGAGTCAAATGAGGAAGAACAGCAAGAGAATCATTAATATTGAGTTGAGAGATTTAATCTTTGTTTATCCTCCTTTATCCTGTGTTGTTGATGAAACAGTGGAGATCGATGAAACAGTGATGGCGAGTTCCTCATTCTCGAAGGCGATGGAGAGCACAGGACCTAAATGAGCTAAGAGAAAAGTGCTAATGGAGGAGATCCTAGCTAGAACATATTATCTTTCAGATCCACTTCAACTTAGATCTGGCCAAATTCTCACTCATCAGCTAAGTAAATCTTCTAAATCTATTTCATGGGCTGATGATGTAGAAGAGGATATTGTATTTGATATGGCTGACAATGCTAAGATGATTGATGAGAATATTGAGGTTTTTACTCCATACGTAGCTCAATCCATTAGAGACAACGTGGATGCTGGAAACCCTAATTTAGAAGAGGATATCAATGGAAATTCAAAAAATGTAGATCAAGTGAATAATATGAATAGGGGAAATAATGAGCTTGAAATAAGAAAATCTTTTGCAAGCCTTTTTCTGATAATAGGAAATTAGGAAATAGTTTATCCTTAAGCTTTGTTCCTTCTTCCCAATCTAATGCTGCTACTTTCTCTACGGAGGAATGGAAGGAAGGAAAAGATTACTGGAAATACTCTTTGATAGGGCATATTATTGGGTTAAATGTAAAATTTAGATCTATGGAAACATATATAAACAAAGTGTGGAGTAAAATCTCTATTCCTAAAATTCCTTTAATCAAGCAAGGAGTATTCTTGTTTGATTTTCAATCAGAACAGTAGATGAGAGATGTTCTAGAGGCCGGTCCTTAGTTTTTTGGTTCTAGGCCACTGGTCCTTAAGTCATGGACCATTGATATAGAAATAGAGAAAATTCAGGATTGTTGCTATCCAATGTGCGTTCAATTCCCTAACCTACGACTTAATCTATGGAGTCCTATTAGTAAAAGCAAAGTTTTAAGTCTTATTGGATGCCCTATAACAACTGATATGCTCACAGCTATAAGACAAAGGCTAAGCTATGCTAGAGTACTATTAGAAGTGAAGTTACCCTTAAATGAACCTTTACCTGATCATCTTGTTATTCAAGGGCCTGATGGTAAGAATTATAATCAGAAAGTCATATATGAACTCAAACCAAGATGATGTTCTAATTGAAATATTGTTGGGCATGAAACTAATCAATGTAGAAGACAAAATGTTAGAAAGATGTGGGTACCTGTTAATAAACAGATTGGAAACGATACATAGCCTCATGTAGAAAATACACGGCTAGGGACTAGTGAAAGGGTAAATAATTCTGGGCAAGTTGCACATATGTCTGGAAAAGATGCACTCGTCATGTAGGAAATACAAGGCCAGGAGCTGGTGAAAGGGTAATCAATTATGAAAAAGATGCACATTTGTCTGGAAAAGTAATCAATTCTGGACAAGATGCACAACAAAGGACTGTTGAAAACATGTACAGTATGAATGATGAAAGAGATATCATTGCTAGACAATCTGGTACACAAACAAGTGAAAAACATGCACAATATGAATCTACTATGCGAAGTATCAGACATGGAAATTCTAGACTTGCTAATACTTATCAGTTTTCATCCCCAATTGTTAATGCATCTGGATTTACAAGTGTTAGCAGAGCTAATGTTGCAAGGAGGGCAAATGTAAATGTTACTGGTACTTCAATTCAGCCATCTCATTTCTCTCCTTTGGATCCTCAGGTATATGATTTTGACCCCCGTTATATTGATAGGGGTGGAACTCAATAATGCATCTAGCTATTTGGAATATTAGGGGATTCAACAAATTCTCTAAATATATGATTGTCAAGAAATTCATACATGATTACAATCTTTCCTTTATAGCTCTTTTAGAAACAAAACTCACTGGTGGTACGATGAATTACATAGCAAAGAA